AACATGCTGAACACATTGCACACTTCAGCCTCCTACGGACGTATCCTTCACATCCCGAAGAGAAAGTTTCAATGCTCCATGGTGCCGAGTCTCGGCCGCCTTGGGATGGCCACGAACATTCTGTCGTTCGCATACAAGCCCATGCATGAGTACCAAATTCTTCGAGTTAGCAATTCCCCTCACTTCTGTGAGCTTTGCATAACTCTTTTGGTCGTTGAGCAACTCATTCCACCTTGCATGGTCTCATTCTTGCCAAGTGCCTCACTTGCCTAGAGCACCATCAAGTATAGTTGTCAACGTTGAGCCGTAGCTCAAACTCAGCCATCCCAACCTTTGTGCGCTCCCAATTCTTCCAAGCTTGCCTGTTCTCGTGGTGCCTTTTGCGCGAAGGGTTGGCCATTCCTCTGAATGCCAATCTCAGATGCCCGCTCCTCTGAGCGACTCTTTTCCCTACATCTCCATGCCCGTTTTCCCTCAAACGATCGCGCGTGTGCTAACTGCCCTCAACGCAGCCCCGCTAGGTCCCCCACGTTTGCATGTCAAGTGTTTCTATGAGTGGTTGTCCTGCTCTGATACCATATGACACGGACTTAGCTGGTTTTGCCTAAGTCGTGCGGCACCCTCGCGCGTCCGTCCGCAAAGGTCAGCCTCCCCGAAGCCTCCCATTGTCCTTTAGGACCAACCAAAGAGAGAACGGGTTAAAGAGAATGCCTCAATCGGGATCCACAAGCAAACATGTCCGAAAAACACTTCATAGACAATGCAAATTACAAACAGACTTTACAAGCTCTGAACAGTGGCACAACAAAGGGTAAAATGGTCCATTACAGACCGAAAAGCTCTCGCACGTGTCCACATGACACAACCTTTATTTACAAGCCTAAAGAGGCCACCAACCCAACTAAAATGAGACTATTAAGCCTTCGGCCGCCCCTTTACATTCTGTACAGGGCATGAACATGCCAAAAGACACGGACACACATAAGCATTACATCCAACATCTTGTTGAGAAGTTTGTCCGTGACATTCGGCAAAACAAGTGGCGGATACAATATAGGCATAAAATGTCTCTGAATGTTGCCTGCTAGCTCAAAACTGATTATGGACTCAACAATAGGACACATATCAAGGAATTATTTAGAGAAAAATTGCTCATCCACAGTGTCATGATAGAACAAGAAGATTTTTCTCATTATTACATGCAAATGTACCAACCGAAATGTAGTATTCCTTCCAGATTGTCCATAATAATAAAAGTCAACCAAATCAACCCTTCTCTACAACTTGTCTGTATATCATCATAGACTTCCCATGAATGCCACCATACACATGAAGTGGGAGTTAAACTCTAATGATTAGTCCACAAAACTCATATACAAAGGAGTGATCTAGAGGAGTTTCAACTCCATATTTTAGATTTTGATCATTTAAACTTGGTAAAATATGATTTTTTTTACAAATTCAAGAAAAATTAAACTTTGAACAATATCGCCTTGAGATCCAGCAGCCATCCATCGCTCATAACTTCATCCAACCGTATTAACATAGCTTAGTTCGGATTCTTAAGACATCAAATCCACTACACTTTACTCCCTGACTCTCTCATCAAACTTATTAAAGAAACGAAAGGACGACACCGAAGTCAAAAATTGCATCCAGCACAAGAAATCCGAGAACAAGTAGGGGGAAAGGCAAGTGAGTCAAGAAGGATCAGTTGAAGCTTGGACAGTTCAACCGTAGCATTAGAAAGCGACAAGGAGATTGAGAACAAAATATATTACTTATGTTCTGGCGGAAACTTACCCCATCTGGTTGGAATCCGAGGCTCGCCTTCCTGTCTGTCCTCCGCCAGTTCTGTATCCGGGTGGGTCACGGGAAGGAAGAGCGTCGTGGAAACCCTATCACGCTCCCGTTTGTAGGCGCGAAGGCACGAATGAGGGAGACCCGCCCATGGGCCACCGGGCCAACAGCTACATGGCAAATTGGCTGAAGGCTCGCTGCGGCCCTCTCCCGCTCCAACCTTTCTGCTTAGCGCTTTTCCATGGGTTCGTCTTTGGCGACAAACGTAGATGTCTCCGTCGAACTTCGACGGAAAGGAAAGGGGATACAGAAGATTCATACGAAAACTGACTCTAGGGGTTATAATCGATTATGATTGTCTGAAGTATCAGATCATGAACTAAAATTGTTTCTTGTGAGAGTTATCATTAGTTTGGTATCGAGAGGTGAATGGAGTTATCATACCAACTAAAATTATGGACATGTCTGAAGAAAGATGCTTAAGTTGGTATGGAGAAAGTAATAGAAGAACGAAAGATTCAGTAGCTTCAGAGAGTTGAGTTCATTCTATTGGGCAAAAGTGACGTACCTAAAATCTTCTATAAGAGGAGTAAGTGAGAGTTACTGTATGAGATCGAAGGGAATTATAGGATATTACTAGGGTGTGAAGAGTCACCTGTGTTTCGATTTCGATTAATATTGTGTCGGATCATACAAGATGGTTGATATGTCGTGACGTGATGTGACGTGATGTTAAGTTATACGTTAAGAGATCATATATCTCTCATCTCCTATTAGTCCCTATTTAATTCCATCACTTAAAAGGATAAAGTAATCTCTCATCTCCTATTAGTCCCTATTTAATTCCATCACTTAAAAGGATAAAGTAATCTTGTAAATGATATAGAAAGAGGAGAACGAGTCTAGTTTTCTTACAAATCGATATTATTATTAATCTTTGATTTATCATTAATTGATTTTAGTTTCTGGCATTAATATTTTCTACATAATAACATAATTACAATTTATATGCTTACAATTGATATTAGAGCCAAAATCAAATACCTTATATCATAAAAGAATATTAAATCTATTTTGTATTTAGATTTGTTTGTTGGCATCCTTCGTTAGTGAAAATGTGTTATCTGATTTTGATTGTACAATGCTTAAACGATTCGTGTTATCAATTTATTTTTCTTTTTTATCTGTCTTGTTTGATCTCTAAATTTATTCCTCTGTACTCCTCACCTACTTGCAATGTAGGTGAGACCTTGATAGAAGTATCTTGCCTATATTTATTCGACGGGCTACCATCAACAGCTTGCTATCGATTCGAACGACAATGGTCTCCGTTGGTTACTAGCCTTGGCATGGGCAATGATTGTCATGGGTTGTGTTGCTACTACCCATGGTAGTAGGATTTGGCTGCATGTGATGTTGCACATGTAGTGGTGGCATGACAACATCAAATGCATGCGGGTAGCATAGGAAGGCAGCGCTACCCTTGACTTATGTCGACGAGGAGGGTGAAGGTGGCCATGATAACATCGGCTATGGCACAACTGTGAACGACAATTGATAAGCGATGTTGGTGATGGGTTGGGTTGTGCAGCTACACTGTGTTGATGGCACACAATAGTAGTCGAATGGCTATGGACATGCACATTGCTAATGCAAGCTGCCCAACGGTCATGTGATGTTCATAAGGCTTACTAATTGATCTCAAAGAAGATGTGCGATTGATGATGCTCACATGACAGTGATAGTCGTATGCATGAGAACCATCGTACATGAACGTAGTGGAACGCCGATGAAGGCTAGTCGATAGGTGAGCATAGTCGGGCACTAGGGAGATCGTGGGGTTTCTTCGCACTAACGTTAGAAGACATGCAACATGTGTAGTAGGATGTTGGTAGAGATATCACTGCGATGGCTAGTTAGCCAAGTGAGAACGACTGATCACTACGGCTACTGTAGGCAATGTGCAAGCGGTGGACAGGTTGTTGTACCACCGGTAAGGACCCGGGCACATGGGTGCGGTGGAACGCAATGGCGGTATCTTTTTTATTAATTAGAATGATATTTTTACCCTTCAAAAATTAGATAACTCTAATCAGTATTCTTTAATTTATTTTCTAATTCTATCCTTAAAAAATCAGATATTTTCAATATACGTCTCGATAAATTATAGTTTTACCTTTAGAAATATAATATTTTTTACTCATGCCCTTAGCCACAAAATTGCTATTATACCTTCATGAAGTTAATTATTTTTTGTTGATATCATTTGTTTATAGTTTTTCCTTTTTGATTTGGCAATATTATCTCAATAGCCATAATTCGATAATAATAAATTATTATAAAATTTGATAAATATTTTTATCAAAATTAAATAAAAATTAAATTATAGATATTTTATTTTTATCCATATGATATAATTTATTATTGTTAAATTGAACTGCTTATGTTATCTAGAAAATTTAATTATTATTTTGGATATTTGTGTGATTATTAAATGCATGAGCATGAAAGAAAATTATGAAATGATATTTATTTTTCACATAAAAGATATGATTCATGTTTATCATAATTATAGTTATCATTTGAATTTTCTTTTATATTGATTAATGTTCAATAATTATTATAGTTATTATTTTATTATTATTGAACTATTTCGATATAAACTAGATTAAAAAAATTCGATGACATCCATGGGTTTTATTTGATTTTTAGCTGCAAAAGTGGCATGGGATCCTAGGCTTATATGATATGAATTAAAATTAAATATTTTATAATTTAAAGATATTTTAAACTATATTTTATATTATTATATTAGTTTTGTAGCCGCTAAAGTGACCAAGATCAATAAGTTATAAAATTATATTAAAAATTAGTCTTGAATGATATTAAAATGTAATATTCACAATGACACATATAATTAGGAGATTTAGATAATTTTAAAAAAGAATATACTTCAAATAATTATATAATAGGGTAGAATAATATTGTTTTGGACATCCTTATAGTTTAGGATTATATACCCAAATGTAGTAATACTATTCCACAAGAATAATATTAATCCTCCATAAATAATTCTGAGTGAATATTGGATATATCAATATTTCACCCAAAGGTGAAATATCGATGACATCAATAGTTCATCATATTTTGAAAACTTAAAGTATTAATATTATTTTATATTTTACAATTATACTTCCTTCTATATAAGTTATACTTATAGTATTCTTATGATTTTTGGATTAATTGATTCTAAATGGTTATATATAATTTACACTAGATATGTTAGACCTTGATTGGACTAATTGAAAAGATCACAGACTTAACTACTGAAAGTTTTATGAAATAAATAATTAATATAAATGATTTAAAAAGGTCTAAAAGGCTCACTTTTATAATAATTACTAATAATATTTAGACTTCATTATAATATATATAACTAGCGTATTGAAATATTTAAATATCAATTTAAATTTACTGATAAGTTATTAACTGACATCTTAATTAAAGAACAGACTAAAATTTAATATAACGATATTTAAGAAATTCAAGATTATATCCTCAATATACTTGATAAAGTTGTAAGCTAAAAAACATTAGGGATGAATGTAGTTGAATCCTTTATCATATAATTTATTTTTAATTCTATTTCTTCTTGATTTTCCTCTATTAAAATTTATTATAATCAAATTAAGGATAAATGAAACTACAATAAGCTAACTAGTATATATGTTTAGAGAAAATTAAGATTAAAGTAAAAAAAACTTATAATATTTTGGGTACCATTCAAGGAGAAGTAATAATAAAAAAAAATTGAAGCATAAATCACTTAAGATTATAAATCCTATATAAACTCATAAAAGGAAAATTTTTATAGTAAATTACTACTTTTATTGTAAGAAAAGTTATGTGAAGGAGTACAAGATTTGATTCAAAAGAGAAAGGTATTAATCTAACATTTGTATGCTTCAAATCAAATATTACAGAAATTTTTTTTCTAATACTTGATAGATTAATTCTGATACTTCAACTTATGTTATCAATAATAAAGATTCATTTTAACATGAAAACTAAAAGAATATGAAATATTCATCATTATAGGGAATCATCTTAAAGCAAAAGCTATAATAATTGGTACTTATCGCCTATGTCTAGAGAATTTTAAGGATGCATGTTATGTTCCTACAATTCTAGATATTTACTTTGTTTACATAGAATTGTCAGGATATTATTTTTCTTTTAATGGCTATAAACTCAATATATTTATAATTCAATAAGAGTTAATTTATAAATTATGTATGATGATTTGAACAAAATTAATAAGAATCTTGAGTTTATAAACTCTTTTAGGTTAGATATGCTTACATTTGTGGGTCACTCAATATTTTCTATTTTAATGGAGAGATACACTTTTTATCAACATTATAGATAACATATTAAGATATAAATATATATATCTAATTCATATAAGGTCTTAAGTCATTGACACATTTAGGTATACATAAATAAAATAAATAGGTAATTAGATAGAAAGATTAAAATTATCAAATTTAATAAGGGTGATAAACTTTATGATATGAGCATGATCATAATTATAGTTCTTTTATTAAATTCCTAGAAAATGACGTATCTAGTATGTCTTATTAGATATGTTAAGAAGAATAAGATTATTGAAAGATAAAATCGTACTTTTATGAATATAATTAGGAGTATGATGAGTTATTTTTCTATACCTGAATTAATGTAAGGAGAAGCTCTAAGGATAGTTATATATATCTTGAATGGGGTTCATAATAAGTCAATTTTATCAATTTCTTTTAAGTTATGGACCGATAGGAAACTCAATTTGAGATATTTATATATTTAAAATTATCCTACGGAGATAAGAACAATTCAAATCACATAAAAAAATAGATTCAAGGGCTATTTCTGAATATTTTATTATTTATCCAATAAAATTCAATAAAATTTATATTTTATTACCCTAATCATAATACAATGATAGTTAAATATGATAAAACAAGATTCCTAAAATAATAGCAAATAAGTAAGAGTAAAAATCTTAAAAATTAATCTTGGTATTAAGGAAATATAAGTTGATACACCTTT